GGCTTGCTACATGTACATGCCTGCTTATCTAAGGACTGGCTAGCCCGAGATGCCCATCAAGGAAACCAACACAAATAAATAAAACACCTGAATGTAGAAAGATCTGGGCAGGAGGGCACGCCAAGCCTAGGCGGCAGGCTCGCTGCAGGCTACGGTCTATTGCGACCACATCTGCTAACCACGCAACTAGTGGGACTGCTGTTTCAAAATGTTCTCACGTCGATCTGTTGCTGATTTCAAGCTCACTGCATCTTGTATGCCATGGACGAAGGCGTCAATGAAAACTATGTGCTTCACCTCGTAGTGCTTGCAGGCGTCATATTGCAGGGGGAAACGTGTCTTGCAGTTACAGGCAGTACACCGTCGCCGGCTCCAATCCCATATCATCCTCATGCAAAGTTCCCGGCATTCTCAATAAATTCATGCAGAAGTCTTGGCATTCTCAATAAATTCACAGGCATACGTATTCCAACATGCAGCAACTTCTCCTCCGTTGTCCAGACTACCTTCCGTGCAGAAACCATCGCCCCAGTCCTGTTGCCTCATGCAGTGCTAATTCCATCATGCCATTGTCGCCAGGCTTGTGAATTCGTTCTCAAGTTCGCAGTCCATCATACCACGCTGTATTGATGCCATACCGGACTGCAACTCAGCCGTGGGATCATTCCCATGGCAAAGACAAACCAAATTCCTATTGCCGTTCTCATGCATTGCTGTAGCTCAATTCCAAATTCTGTCTTCAGCTTCCATGCAGAGCGCCAGAACCCGCACATGGATACCAAGAGAGGTCCAGGTACTGTCCTTTTAGGCATTGTGCAATTCGCCGCCAGTCCCAACGGAGACGTGGCATCAGTATTGCACCAGCAGCACAAACGCCAGCTTCCAGAGAAAACGTGGTCCCACTTTTGCACATGCTTTGCAGTCGAATCCCAGGCTTCCTCCCCAAAGAACGGAGACCTTGCTTACAGCCGCTGGCAAGAATCTGTTCCCGTCAACCATGGCAGCGAGTTTGCGTGGGTTAGTGGTTTGTCAGCAGGGTAGGGGCGTAGGGACGGCAACACCAGGTAGTGCAGTGTCAGCGGCAAGTCAAGCAAGGCAGAGCGACAATATCGAAGTTGTAGGTATGCGAGGGCGAGGGGGCGCAGCCCATAACATGCCACTCATTGGACGGTCACCATCCATCAGCCATTCATGAACCGATTCACCCGACACAATCGAGCACACCGTCCCTAGGCTAGCTTCCTAAGTTCTCTGCTACAATAAACTGCAGGCAGTAGGCACACGCTCTCCCAGCTCACTTCTTTTGCTTCGCGCAACACATACGGATTCGTGCAACTCCACTGACACCTCGAAAATGACTGCACATGCACTTGTCAAGGCACTCCAAAAGTAATTATTCACAGCATGCATACAACGAACATGAGTGTTCGAGACGTGCTCCACACGTCGCGGCCCAAGCGGGGGCTATTCCTAAATTCTACAGCATGCAATGCGCCCACGGGGCTATTCATGAATTCATCAACATGCAGTGTGTCATGCATTTAAATTCCTCATCGTGTTTTCATGCAGTCGTCAAATTCGTCGTCGTGCTCACATGCAAACATGCAAAAGTGCCTTGCGTATATAAATTCATGCGCGGGTGTCAGTACCATTCATGGCGCCGAGTGCTTGCACATGCTATTTTACAATAGAAGAGCTCATGCTGACTTGGCCATCAAGACATCCGAACAAAGTAAAGCATACAAGCGCCCAACCGAAGATAGCCAACATTTGGGCACCTAATCTTTAGCCAAAGAACGGCCTGAGCTCTTCATCACGGACTGCTGTGCGACTTCCATCACTGAAAGTGACAGTGGCAAGGCCCGGCCCCATAGTGACCGTTGGTCCCGTCATAACCGGCCTCCTGTTCAACGGGATACGGCTCTGCAGGTCTATCACTCGTGGTTGCGGCCTTGAGTCGTCCGGGGGAGGGTGACGGTAAGGGAGCCTCTCGTGGTACTTGTCCTTAAGCTCTTGGACTTTTTCACCGACTTCTCCGATGAGGTCCTTAGTGCTCGCCAAGGACGGCTCCTGCTCTTTAATCATCTCCGCCTGCGCCAACAGCTGGTCCAACATCCTCTGGAAGACCCCCGCATCTGCTGGGAGTCGAGAGAAGGCAGTGCCCAGTTGGGAGATGCCCCCCGCAATGCCCTCAAGCCTGGTATCTTGACCTTCACACACTTTGTCGAGCTTCCTGAGCAGTCCATGCGAGGTAGTGTGAAGGCTGTTCGCCTGCCCCTTGACCATGCCCACCTCCTCGAAGATGGACGTGCTTTTGGCCCTCGTGAGCTGCTCCAACCTGTCAAAGTCCCCGCGGAGCTTCTCCAAAGCTCCTTTGGTTGCGTCCAGGATGTGTTGAAGGTCTTTGGACCCAAAGCTTTGCTTGAGCTCTGCCAAGGTGGACTCCGCTGCCGTCGCTGTTTTCTCTTGCTTGGAGTTGATGTCTTTAAGGACATCCCTCAAAGGCTTGAGGAGTCCTTCCAGCTGGTTCCCGAAGTCTTTGATGGCTTGCCAGGGTTTAGGGTTCAGGTTTCAGGATTTTTGTGAAACGCCAGTCTCTGGCCGCTTGCACAATCAGAAGGCGACCTGCGGTCCTGGGCAACCTTGACAGATTTGCAAAGGATGCAGGCAAAGGAGGGTTTAGGGTTAAGGAGGGTTAAGGCTTTAGGGTTAGGGCTGAGCCCAGGGGTCACAGGCTTTACGGGGAATCGGGCATGAGGCCTGGGGGTAAGGTGTAAAGTGTAAAAGGCTGAAGAGAACTGCCGCAGTTCATCGACCAACAGAAGAAGATGCTCGATCAAACTTGCAAAATGGGTTCAGCATCAGGGTTTGCGGGGTTGCGAAATCTGCAGGAAAGGTGCTGATGGCATTCGCAATCGTCTTCTGCAAGACGTTTGCCTGCCCAGGATCAGATGGAGTGCTTCTCTGGAGGACGAGCCCCTTTTTTCTGTTTACCCTTACAGATATTCGGTGTATA